CCTCGGCGGCGTGATCTAGGAGGGGGGGGGGGGAGCGATGGAGGAGGAGGAGGCGGAGGAGGGGGACCCAGACAGCCAACGCCTTGAACACATCAAGACTGTTGTGCGGTTTCCACTGTCTCGGCCTCTGCGGCCCTTTGCTGGGCGCCAGGGCCGTCAAACAACGACTCAGGATGAGAAGCCAACCCTGGGGAACGGGTCGGGACTTCCAGGGACCCAGTGTTGAGCAAATCAAGGCTGGATGTCTGGGGAGAGGGAGGAGGTGGAGAATGGGGAGGAGGCGGAGGAGGGGGAGACGCTCTGATGGGTCTGACGTGCTCGGCAAAGGTGTCCTCGCTCGCTGCCCATCGTCAATCATGATCGCATCTCAGCCTTGAGAGACGCCAGCGGGTACGTGCTGCCTCGGCCTCTGGCCGCGGCAACGCCCCCAGGAAAAAAAAACGGCACCAATAACAACTGTGACAATGGGCAGAGAAAGAAACTCGCGGTGGTGTGTGGTCGTTGTTCACCGGCGTCCCGCTCGAGACACGTCAATCACCAGCTCGGGGAGGCATTGTGGACCAACTCGTCAGGAGTGGCTCTGCTGGTGGTGCTGGTTGTCGTTTTTCCTTCCCGCGTCACCAGTCCCCGTTTCATCCGCCCCCCCGGATCCACTCCCACTCTACTTCTTTGAGCCTCCTGGGTCGAGGAGACCCTCGGAAGTCGCGGGGACGGGACGGGATGAGGATCCCCCCCCGCCGTTGTCAGTCTGTCGGGGCCACCGCCGTTCCCCCGCGTTTGCCTCCCCCCGTCGCCGCCGCTGCAGCCGCCGCAGACGCGGCAACCGCCGCTCGTCACCGCCGCCGCCGCCGCCGACCGTTGTCGCCGGCGTTTGCGTCGCCGCCCGTCGCCGCCGCCGCCTGTCGTCGTCGAAGCCGCCGCCGTCGGCATCCCCCAATCGCTGGCGCCTGCGCGCTGAAGCCCACAGGCTGCGGCGGCGAACCTCGGCCGGCGGGCCGCCGACGCCGCAGTCGGGCTGTCCGAGCGCGCCGGACAGAGCTGGGGCTGCGCGTGGCCCCCCGAGGTGCCGCGGCTGCCCGCAGCAGGCCCCCCCCCCCAAGGCAGTCCAGGGCGGCGCCAACACCCCAGCGCCAACTCTGGGTGCCGCCACGGTTGAGGTCCCTACACCGCCCCAGGGGTTGTCCCAGGGGGCTGTCTGTGCGCGACCGCGCGAGCCCTCCTCCTCCTCCTCCTCCTCCTCCTCCTCCTCCAAAACCCCGACGGCCAATAGAAACAACACATTGCGTAAGGACACATCGGTCCCACCGAACTCACAGCTTTCGGACCCCCAACTCGGGACAAGGACGGCTACCGCGTGCCACTCTGCACAACCCCAGCGCCCTCGGAAGGCCTCGGACGCGGCGCGGCCATGGAAGCGCGTCTTGGGGTCAGAACGGCAGCAAGACTGCAGCAAAATCAGCTGCGCGAGGTCCGCCCAGGCTCCGTGGGTCGGCGCTGGGCCCACCCCCCTTGGCGCGCGGATGTCGCCATGGGCGGCACTGGCAGCGCCGTCATTGGGTCCCGAGGCCGCCCCGAGAACTCCGTGCGGGCTCTCGAGAAATCAAAAAAGGCATACCATATTTGTTGGCGCATCGGACGCACACCGATCGCGGGCCAACAGTGGGCCCGGCCGGGGCAGGGCCGGTCAACATCGAGTCGTAGAGTCGGATCGGGTCGGATCGGCCGCCAGATCAGATCCCCGCCCGTGGCGCGGGCGTCGGCGCGCTGGTCGCCGCCCTGGGCGGAGGCCGCCGCCGAGGCAGCGGAGACTCCTCGCGCGCCGCCGAGGCACCGCGACCCCCGACAATGGTCTCGTCACCTCCTCCCCTTCTGTTGCTCCCATCGTACTTACGGACCACATCCCGGAAATAATTTCGAGCACCCAAACAAGTATCGAAACAGTGTCGAACGAGTATCGCCTCCCAGGGCCCGACACGTGACAACCCTCAAATTTCGGTACTTTCTTGCGTCACGAAATTATGTTTGGCAATGACGGCTAAAGTAGGTTGGAACATCATAATCCTCACCGCCATTTTTCCCTCTCCTGCGTTGCTCATCTCTCTCCTCCTGTCCCCTCTGTGTTCCTCTCCCCTCCCCTCCTCCTCGCCCTGCCACGGCTGCTCGCCCGCTGCCCCACCCCCTTCTGGTATCCCACCTCCACAGGCGAAGGGGGGGCGGGGATGACGAGCAAGACACCAGAGGGAGAGAGAGAGAGAGAGATAATCTGAGAGAGAGGGAAAGATGATGATGATGATGATGATGATGATGATGATGCTGCTGCTGATGCTGATGCTGATGCTGATGCTGATGCTGATGCTGATGAATCTGGGCGGCAAAAACATACTCAAACCGTAGCCACAAAGATGCAGGTCAAAACCACGAGCCACCTCGTCGAAACCCCAAGGCCCAAGGCCCCATGGAGATGACTCTGTTTGAGGAGCGCTGAAATTTGCCCTGGACGTGTGTCTTGCTCAAGTTCGTGATCACTTCTGCGGAAGACTGCTCGGCATCGGCGCAATCACCTAAAATGCGGCCGCCAGCCATAGAGACCTGGCAATTGGGCGCTCCTCTGGTCGAGAACCTCGATAACGAATCCAGCGAATGCGTGGCGTCCGCGGCGGCCGCATATGGGATGACGAGGAGGAGGAGGCGGAGGAGGAGGAAGAAGAAGAGGACGGGTAATTACCCACCAACGGTTCACCAATGCCAATTCGGAGAACTATAGGCGCAACCTCTGGATCGTGGCTGCCCCGCAGGCAGAGACGCGACTCAGTGGCGCCAGTCCAGGAGATAACCGGCCGCAGTCCCACCAGCCCTTTAGGGCGCGAGTGGTTTAGAGCGCTTCCTCTTCCAACCCTCGCTTGCTCCTTCGGGAAGGGGTTTACCCCTCCCCATCCACTACACCCCAACACCTCCCCATGTGTCTAATGATTGTCTTTTTTGCGCATTGGCCACTCGACGAATCGACGTTTCCGTAGCCTGGAAACTGTTCGACGAATTGTTTTGGTCTCGCTATTGGAATTCTCGAATCATTTGAAAACAACATGAGCGGCATCTGCTGCCACAGTGAACACGGGGGGGCGCAACTCTGCAGATTTGAGCCCTGCGAGCTACGTATATGAGTGCCTGTTCGGCACAAAGGCTCAACACTCAACGCGTGGCCGCTTGGCAGAGAGGTCACTGACCCGAAATGAATCTGGAAAAAACAAGCTCGACAAGATCCCTAAGTCTGATTGTTCGTCCATATGCATGGGCTCTGCCAGACACGTCTGGTGGGACTAGAAAGGGAACAGGAGGCCCCAATCTCTAACCGAACTGTCCCCCGCATATTCTTCTATACTGGTATGAATAGTGCGATGGTTTTTCAATATGCTTGGGCTTGGAAAAAAAAAAAACGCAAGAGTCCCAAGGGGGGGGCCTGGAATGTCCCAGGGGGAGCCCAGGAAAACATCGAATTGAAAAGGTCGTTTTCGGAGGCATCTTGGAACCATGCAGGGCGCCTCTCGGGAGCGTCTGCGGCCGTCTTGGGGACCACCTTGGGGCGTGATGGGGTCTCTTGGGGCTCCTCGGCCGTGTTGGGGCCGTCGTAAGGGTCTTGACTATGTTTTGCGTTCCAGCGAGGCGCGCGGTGGTCGACGCTAGCCATGGATGGTCTCTCACATGCGTCCAAGAGGCGCCCAGACAACCACGGGGCGGCCTGATGCTGCCACTGAACTCGCCAAGAGGGCCCCCGAGAGGCGAAACTCATCAAACAACACGTTGTCATTATACGTCCTCTGGCTTCCCAGCTTTTTGCTTCCGATGGGCGTCGGCGGCCTCTGGATGGCTCCAGAAAAGGCCCCAGCGGGGCCTACGCGGGCGTGGAATGTGGCCCCAACACGGCCCCAAAATGGCCACCAAAGGCGATTTGTTGGAGGCCCCGGGCGAGGGTCCGGCCTGAGACCGTCCGGACGTCAGGGACATGATCGGGACCCCCCCCGGCAGGCATCTGGGGCGGGCCGCCTGGGGGAGAGAACGCGCGGGGCGGTTTTGTTGGCATCGGGCGAAGGCTTACCCGCTCCATTAGGGGAACTCCGCCCTTGGGTCTGGATGGTGGGGCGCCAGCGGTTAGAGCGTCCAAAACAGCCTTGGCGAGAAGGCCAACATCATTGATTTCACCGTCGTGTTGGTCACATCTTGGCCTCATGGAAACGGGTGCGATTCAGCGCGCCCCGTGCTTTGATCGACCTCCCCCACAATGGCGCCCAAATTGCCCCGAAGCCCCAAGAAGATGCCCCAAGACGGCCCCAGAAGAACCCCCAAAAGGCCACACAAAAAAAACATAGGCACCCAAGACCCCCCAGGATACTTCGGAGAAAAGACCTACATCTCTTTCTTGCTACAACAAGATCTAGCAACATGTGGGCCTCTTGGGGGGGCATCATTACGAGGCCCCCGCCCTTCGATCGCTCTCCCCGAAGTGGCCTCAAGGTGGGCCCGACACTCACAGGGATGCTCCAACACGGCCCCAAGAGGTGCGCAAGATATCCCACGAGGCCCCCAAGACGGCCCCCAATGGGCCTTCAAGATGACCCCCAAGAGGCCCCCCCCCAGGCACCCAAGACGCCCGAAGAAGTCCGAACCGAGTACACCAAAACATAAAAACAGTCTTTGGACAGACGATGGGTTGAACGGGATGGCGGTTGATGGAGACAGCGGACCTTTTCTCCTCCAGAGCTTCAAATCAAGCAAGCCGCTGCGTCGCCGATGCTGGCAGATATGGCGGCGCAACCTTGAGCCGAAACAATAATGGAATCGGGCGAACATATGTGCCACCCCGCGGGACATGCCCCCAACGTGGACTGGGAGTGGAAACGAAGCCCGCGCGCTGCTGTCCCTATGTTGGCTCTATGCGACCGCAAGATGTCAGGAGGCCGCCTAACACGGCGACCCCAGTTGCACTGGGGCGCAAGCCAAAAAAACTACGGCGCGAAGTGCTTGGTCATGTCTCCATGAACCAGCAAGCCCAGCACCTACAGCAACAGCAGAGCAGAAGTGCCCCCATGAAAAGCAGCAGAACACAAACAAGCTGAACACGTACAGCCTGCGCTGGGCCAGCAGGCGGGCAGCCCAGAAGGCTCTGAAATATGCCAGCGGGGCTGGTCCCGCGCCGGGCAGGCAGATCGGTGGCCTCGCGCGTCCGCGAAACCAAAGCCTGGCAAGGATGACGCCCCGGCAAGGATGATCATCCACAACAAAATGCTGGCTGAAGGAGCGCGGCCACGCGCTCACTTCCCGGCAGGCGTGAATCCAAGACAAATGACGCGCAGGACGGGTGCGGGCGCGCGCTCCCGCTGCGGTTCCACGACAGCTCTAAGTGGGGCCAGAAGGACGGCCCCCGCCCATGCAACTGGCGACCGCGGCTGGGCAATCCCTGGCCGCAGGGGTCCAGCGGGGCTTTTGAAATGGGCTTCGCGCGTTGGCAGTCGGAGCACTAGCGAGCTGATGCAAATGACTTGACATCGTGGTTGTGCTTTGGTATCCGTCCATGATTTGTAGTAGTAAGTCGCAATCTATGAAACTCGCGGCAAGTCCACCCGCTGTCGGATCTCGGATGTCACGCCATTGCGCGGCGTGCGCGAAGCCGAGTTCCAGAAACTCTCTATGCCAATTGACATGGCCCAGCAGTGTTCGTTTGCCTGCAGGTGCTTGCAGGGCCTTATCTGTGAGAGGCTTGAACGCGGACTCGGCGTCCGTCGCGAGGGATTATATTCTCTGGCGCGGAGTCGCCCGCCTTGCTCGCGAAGTTGTTTGGGCCCAGACGGAGTCAATGGACCCTTGCGGAGCTCATGTAGCGCCACTAAGGTAGGATAGCGCTTATCCGCGCTACGTGCCGCAACAAGTGCTTCAGCGGCACTGCTGAACCGAACTTGGAGGCGATGGGATTTGCATAGGCTGCCGATGCAATGGATGACCTCCCCCCCGCTGCTCTTGGTTCCACGGCGCAGAAGGTCGCGCCTTCGAAAACCATGGCCTTTCGTCTCGTCGCCACCTCTCCGGTGAGTGTTCGGTAGTCCGAATCGCTATGTAGAGCGACCTAGCCGTCGGCCTCTACATCGCGCGCGGTAGGTGATATTCCTGGAGTCTTGCAATGATATTCGGGTGCGGGCATTTAGTTGTCTCGCCTAGAGATTCGCGGGTTATCGAACGCGCTGGATCGACGCAATCTTTATAACATGGCCCAGAACTGGGCAGGGGTGGAGTTGGCAAGGGCACCCCACAGACTGATGAACATGTCGTTGACTGCGCAACGCGCGTAGGTTGGCATGCCAAGTTCACGCGCATTGCACGTGCCAAACAACTGCTGTACCATTCTGCGCGCAGGAAGTGCATCCTTGCCGCGCGCGTTGATGTCCTCCACGGGTTTGGCAGTAAGTGGATCTGGTGCAGGTTCGACTTCTGGGTCACGTGACATTAATTTCAAGCCGATGCTTTCGGACGTTATTTTGAGCTTGAGGGGGAAGGCTCGTGGAGCGTCTCTGGCGCCAGTAACTGGCTTGAGACGCTCGACGCAGCGGCGGGGCTCGCCTCAGCCCTCACGCACAAGTCGCGACGTAGGACAGAGGCGCTCCCAGGAGGCAACGTACAACGCGCAATAGGCTCCTGCTCCCCTGCTGCTTCAGCTACTTCCTCGTCGGCCAGACCCTTAGGGGGCGCTTCGTCCACGCCCAGGCTCGCCGGGATCTCATCGCCATGGCAGGTTGTCTCGCTGGCCAGCGAGCGCTGCGAGGCACGCTCGGCCGTTCCAGAATGTTTTCGTTGAGAAGGCCTCCTTGTCCACGAAACCTCTCAGCGCTAGGCGGAGTTGAATCATCTTACACGTCTTGCAGGTGTCGGCTTCCGAAACAAAAAAAACATGTGTAAACGTCGCGCGACGTCATCGCGTTTTGAACCTCGGACAGAAGTCCTCTGGTAAACCATCTGCTCTGTATAAGCCATATTGTAAGTCTGGCGAAACAAGCTATCGATGCTTGCTCGAGATGACGCACAATAGCTTTGTTTAGTAGGCCATCCACCTTCGCGACGACGGCCCGTTTGATCTCCGCCAAGGCCCGCTCGCGCTGAGTTGCTAGTTCGCCGGCGCGCCCGGCCCTTAGTCGTGGCCCGTCCAAGATGACCATGGCCACGTCACTTGCGAAGCATAGCTCGGCACACTTGCCGTGAGCATCGGCGTCGAGGTCGCAATCGTCGTCCATGGCCTCGCCCGCGCACGCATTGATAGCCATGATACGATCGCCTGATCGTTGGCGAGAGAACAACGTCGCGCTGGACGCGCTCACTGCGATGCACGGTGTCTGCTTGACCCAGGCAGCTTTCGCGTCCATAAAATACCATAACGGCGTTGACCGGCACGAAAGGAGTGGGGGCAACGTAAAGAAACTGAAATGGTCCAGTCACTGCTTGCACTGTGATACGCCGGCGGTAAGAATTCGCACGCCGCCGGTGCCAGTCGCGCATCGGCATCGCGTCCTCCTTCAACTTGATATCTCCTTCATCATTCAAGAAAAACCCGCCGGCGCCTCTCTCGGATTCCATGGGCGCCCCAGGGACGTTCGCGTTTCCATGTTCGTCGCTGTCCTTGGGGCCGTCGGCCAGATCGGGCAATCTCTCGCAGTCTTCGTCGAATTGGCGCGTTGGTCTGGACGAGATCGAGTACTGCGTCAGTCGAGCATGGATGCTGGCAGTAATGTCGGGCATGCTAGGAGAAGTGTCAGTCAACTCGTAGAAATGACAACGCGGCTGATTGCCGTTGTCGCAGCAGACCAACGCAATGCGAGCTGCAACAAGATAGGACGGCACGGCGTGAGCGCTTGTCGCCAACCTGACTTCAATGACACTACCGATCCTAATTCAGCTGGAAGTGCAGAGATGCGGGAGATGTCGGTGCGCATGGCCATATTGTCCGTACTAAATTTCCGACGCATGAACACCTCAATGAGTAAAGTCAGCATCGCACCAGGAAGCAGAAACGCAGTATCTGTCTTCCCAGATGCGGCCATCAATTGCCCGCGTTCTTCATTGACTTCGCCCGCCCTGCACGGGCCATTCCAGCCTCCGTGGCCATCCTCAGTGGTAGCTGGCGGTGGTAGTCAATCAAGTCACCCACTCGAGATATCCTGCCCCCGCCCGCCTTGGTTTTCGCCGCCTGGGGAGCTCTGTCCACCGCGGCCCCGGCAATGGTCCGCGTGATGGTCTCCGAAGTGCTTTCTCGAACGCGTCGGTCTCATGCCTGGCCGGTCGTTTCGGGGGCCTCAAGCGGACCCTCTAAAATCGGGCAGCACGGCTGGCTGTCGGCCAGTGCGGGCATTGCACGTAGAGAGACCGTCGCAAGAAGTGAGCGCGCCACGCGCGCGTGATGCCTCAGCCAATAGTAAGTTAATAGCCAGGGAAACACCATGCCTCTCAAGAACTGCTTCCGTAGCGCGCGTGACTTCTCGGAGTATTCCATTTCGAGCAACTGCAGTGGCGCGTTGTCCTGGGAAATTCAACTGGCCTGGTCGCGAGATGGTTTAGCTCGCCATCGCCGTCGCAGTGCAGTGCCTTGACTGCGTGGTACTATACTTGATTGACCCGACAGTTGTTGCGCGCGCCCCGCAGCGCATCTTTGCGATCGCCGGGGGGGGGGGGGGGGGGATCTCGCAGCCGCAAGCGCGCCCAATGCATCTATGGATGATGCGGCGCGCGGTATATCTTGAAGAAGAACACGTCCCGCTCGACTTTCTCGTTGAATCTTCGACGGAGGCTCAATGATGGCAGGGTGGAGGTGCAGGGTCGCTCGCAAGCCCAACGCTCTCGAGAAGTATCGGCGATGGGCTCTATCTCGTAGAATCCGGCGCCGCCCAAGCCCGCTCGCCGGGGGATCTGGCGCACTTCCGGCGCCGTTGCATAGGAGGTCCGAAGGTTCAACTTCCTGAGTTCTTGATTGACGACCGCCGGGTCAGTGCCCCTTGGGCGCCTCGAGATTGGAATTCATATGGAAACGAGACCAGTCTGGAAACACGCCCTGGCCAATGCCCCAGCCAGACAACCAGGGTGCTGCTCGAGCGACTGGAAGACCCACGCATCGGGCGTCTCGAAAACATCGAGACGGCGGTTTTTCATTGTTTTTGGCCTCTCAGGGGCCCTCGCCGGGCCTCGGGGCCGTCAAAAAAAAACTCGGGATGAAAAGCCAGCCCCAGGGAAGTCGGCAGGTCGGGGGCCCGCGTCTCGAAAAAATCGAGACGTCAGATGTCTGGGGGGCCCGACGACAGACGCAGTGGGCCACGGCACCAAGAGGAGGTTGCCCGGCTTCCGCCGCTGCACTCGCGTCTCCACGATTGGCTCGACAGGCTGTGCGCTATCTATTTCAGCTGCGGGGCAATCGACTGCACGCGGTCGCGGTGGATTCGGATATGCTCCAGATCGCCCAACGGATGATGGAGTTTGCCCACCCCCCGCCCAGTGATCTGGGTGTCTCGACTATGTTGTGGCCCAAACGGCATGGGCATTGCGTCCAGTGGGCCAGCTGAACGGCCCGGCGAAACAGCAGTCGCCCGCAGTGTACCAGTGCCCCGTCTCTCGTTCATTATACTCTTTCTTGCACGCCTCGCGTTCCCAATGGGCCGACACTGCGTCGCAGCATCGGCAAACGTGGGGATCTCGGGCATGCGATGGGCCGTTAGCGCGAAGATCCTCGGCGCGCCCAAGGCGACCGCGTCTGCCTGGTGGGGCCCTGCCGAGCCAGGGTGGATTAGCGGCTCGCGTCGTCTGGTCGGGGCAAGTAGGGCCCGTGGCAACGGCAGGGATTGCGCCGGTCTCAGAAAAAGAACGAGAATTCGAATCTTCTCGAACGCGTCTGCGCAATGGAGTCGTCGCCTTGAGCAGGGGCCCGGCGTCGACGAAGACGTGGCATAGATTCGTCGTGTGCTGGGCTGTCCTGGCGAGCTCCTTGTTGCAGCGTTTGCAATGTTCATGGCGGCCGCTGCACTTGTCCTTCTTGATGGGCCTGAGAAGCAATTGATGGTTGGCGGCAATCTCCGTTGGTTTGCGCACGAGTACGCCATGGCTGTTTCTGAGGTCCGTCATGTATTGGTCAAAGGCTGCTCGGCAACATTGATCGCACCGTTGCACTTGCGTCCAGGACTGGATCCCGTTTGTCCAGTTTACCGCTGGTTGTTCTTTCATCCAGCACCGGCCTAGCTGTTCTTGACGAAGAGCTGGCCGCGGTACTTGATATGTGGGGGGTCCATGTCGTGGTGCTTCTTCTCAGTGCCGTAGTTCGCCTTACTGTGAAGCCGCGAGTTGGGGCCAGTCGATCTGCAATTTGGCTGTAAGATGGTAACCAGAACGTAACCAGTATCCAGGACATGTTGACAGCCCCTTGGATCTTGGGGTCGTCCAAGTCCACGCAAGTCGCATCTGTGTCCAGATTGCCGGCGGACTGGAGTCCTCATGCAAAGACCACCTCGGAAATGCCACCTCTCCCCCCGAACAGCTCCAATATGTCTTGGTAGCCATGCTCGGGAGCACGTGAGATCGGAAGGGGTCCTGTTGAGGCTTGCTCCGAATGCGCATGTCCAACGAAATGTCCTCATAAACGTCCCGCGACCGCCCTGGCGCTCCGCGCCTAACATAAAGCCATTCGACCTCACAAAAGCAATGCGCGACACGCGTCACACCCGAAAAAATATAAAAAACTGTAAAATTGGGATTCTGGGAGCCAGCCTGAGGCCGTCCAACTTCGCAAAGAAGAAAACGAGTGACACGTGTCACCCCCGACACCCCGCGAGAAACAAACACTTGAAAATTTGGGCCTCTGGGAGCCAAAATGAAAGCATTCAGTCCCGCGCCACGCGCGAGAACTGGACGCCACCGCGCGCGCGCACTCGCGCGCACGCGGACGCACACTGTCCTAGCAAGACGAAAACGACCTACTCGTCGACCGGAGCAGCCTGCCGCATCTCTGCACGCGTGCAGTTCATGTGATATACAATTTCATGCACGTGCGTGCGTGTCTACACATGTATTTACACAAACATGCATGTGTGCATTTATAAATCGCATCGTTCGGCCACCGTGGAATATTTCCCTCGGACGACTGTTCAAACCATAGTTATTCCACAGCAAACTAATTGCAGTCGGGATCCGGGGGTGTCATCGTGTGTTTAACAAGGTTAGGCATTATTTGTTTGACAGAAGCGTCGTGCGTTGAGGCCCTTTGGCGGACCACGTCTCTTGCGGCGCTTGGCGTCCCCTTGCAGGGTCAACACGTTGGCAGACGGTGTCTCGGATTGGAACGCGTCTAGGAGCCTCGTCTTCGATACTGCGGGCGCCGAGAACATCCTAGAGCTGGCAATCGACCGACGACACCCTCAGAGGCAGAGGAGGGGGAATCTGTCTCTCGTGCGCCACGCCGGCGCGAAATCAGCCGAGGAAGGCACGGGGAGGCCACCTCAACAAGCACCCCGGCGCCGCCGCCAACCCCCTCGCGACGGCTCTCGTTGTGGGCCGCGCGGCCGTGGACGAGCCGCAGGGCCGCGAACCGGGCCCGCGAGCACCCGGCAGGGGCCTCGCTGGCGCTCAGGCCGGGCTCCGCGCCAGCAGCCGTTCCCACGAGCCCCGCGACCGCCCCCGCCAGGCCGGCAACGTCGCCCGCGGCCTCGCCGCCAACCGCCGCGCCCGGCCCCAGGCCTACCCCACCAGCTGGCGCCGCCACCGGCCCGGGCTCTCCTGAGCTCAGGGTGGGAGCACCGGCGGGGCCCTCGAGCTCCTCCGCCAAGCCGGCGACGCCACCCGCGGCTCCGGGACCACCCGCCGCGCCCGCCACGCCCGCCGCGCCAGCCGGGGAGAGGGAGGATTGAGCAGGGACCGACCGTCCCGGCAGTCCTATAGGCCTACCACGAAACGTTCTTAGAACCAAAACCTGTTCTAAGAACAAAAAGATGTTCTTATAACATCAACCCGTTGTGTTAAAACAAGACGGCCCTGGCAAGAAATGTTCCAAGAACATGTCGCGCAGACCACAAAAGGTTCTCAGAACATTGTTTGGTAGGCCTATCCCACACATGCGACGTCCTGATTTTTTCAGGACGTCGTCGCTGGAAGTCCAGACCCTTTCCCCGGGGACAGTTTTTCATCCTGAATCGCTTTTTGACGCTCCCAGGTCCCAGCGAGGGCCCCCAGGGGCCGAAAATAGCGAAAAACTTGCCGTCCTGTTTTTGTAAATAAAAAACGACGCGATCATGTCTGGGATAGGCACGCCAGGACGCTTCGCCACTGCTCGAGAGAAGATGTCCGCGGCTTCAGGGCGAACGGGCGGCCTCCCGGCGCACCTGAAGGGCACCCCCCACCCCACACGACCTCCTCCTCCTCCTCCTCCTCCTCCTCCCTCCTCCTCCTCCTCCTCCTCCTCCTTCTGCTCCTCCTCCTTCTGCTCCTCCTCCTCTCCTCCTACTGCTCCTCCTCTCTCCTCCTCTCCTTCCTCCTCCTCCTCCTCCTCCTCCGTTTCCTCCTCCTCCTCCTCCTCCTCCTCCCTCCTCCTTTCCTCCTCCTCCTCCTCCTCCTCCTCCTCCCCCTCCTCCTCCTCCCCTTCCTCCTCCTCCTCCTCCTCCTCCTCCTCCTCCAACTGCTGCTCTATTTCCTTCTCCACCTCCTCCTCCTCCTCCTCCTCCTCCTCATCCTCCTCCTCCTCCTCCTCCTCTCTCCTCCCTCTCCTCCTCCTCCTCCTCCTCCTCCTCCCTCCTCCTCCTCCTCCTCCTCCTCCTCCTCCTCCTCCTCCTCCTCCTCCTCCTCATCATCATCATCATCATCATCATCCCCCTCCTCTCCTCCTCCTCCTCCTCCTCCTCCTCCTCCTCCTCCTCCTCCTCCTCCTCCCTCCTCCCTCCACCTCCTCCCTCCTCCCCCTCCCTCCGCCTCCTTCTCCGCCTCCTCCTCCTCCTCCTCCTCAGCCTCCTCCTCCTCCTCCTCCACCCTCCTCCTCCTCCTCCTCCTCCTCCTCCTCCTCCCTCCCTCCACCTCCTCCTCCTCCTCCTCCTCCTCCTCGCACCTCCTCCTCCTCCTCCTCCTCCTCCCCTCCTCCTCCTCCTCCTCCTCCTCCTCCTCCCCCTCCCTCCCCCTCCCCCTCCCCCCCCCTCCCCCTCCCCCTCCCCCACCTCCTCCTCCTCCTCCTCCTCCTCCTCCTCCTCCTCCTCCTCCCTCCTCCTCCTCCTCCTCCTCCTCCTCCCACTCCTCTTCGCGCGGCAACCGCCCCAGGGGGTCTCGCATCCGGCCTAACCCCAGGGAGGGCTCAGAGGAGGAAGCAAACACAGATCGCTGCCCCTCCCTCGTCGACACGACTGGATTCTCATCGAAATCCTTGTCAGAACGCACTCTGGGATTGGTGCGTGGAGTGGGCTATGGGTGCGTGTTGTCGGATGGGGGGTCCCCGCTCGAACGGAAGCCTCCCCTTGGGTCCGACAGCCCGAACCCATACACATAGCCAGTACTCCTCTCGCCGACACCCCTATGGGTATGGGTATGGGTGCGTGTCTGTGGTGTGCGCGTGCGCGTGCGCGTGCGCGTGCGCGTGCGCGTGCGCGTGCGCGTGCGCGTGCGCGTGCGCGTGCGCGTGCGCGCGCGCGCGTATGTGTGTGTGTGTGTGTGTGTGTGTGTGTGTGTGTGTGTCTGTGTCTGTGTCTGTGTCTGTGTCTGTGTCTGTGTCTGTGTCTGTGTCTGTGTCTGTGTCTGTGTCTGTGTCTGTGTGTGTGGGGGGTATGTGTGTGTTGTGCGCTCGTCATGCAGTAGCTCGGTTCATCTGTGTGTTTTCGGCCGAGGCCCCCGCCAGCGCACGCCAGGGAGCAGGCGCCGCGGCTGGCTGTGGGGTGGCTTGCCACTCCCCCACCCACCCCTCCGAAAAGAACTGGCTCCGCCAAGTCACCCCATAGAGGGCAAAAAATCCACTCCCATAATAACCACCCCGACACGCGAAGCCGTTTACTAAACGCCCCTACTGAAGGAATCGAACAAGGCAGGGCTTTTTAGTAAACGCCCAAAACCGTTTAATAAACGCCAATTGTCCGGGTGCGGGTGGTTTTCCCTCCCTTGCCCCAATCGGGGACGCACTGACCCCAGCCGGTCAATGCGAAGCCGGGTCAGTCAGGCCTTGCATGATCATGCGCGAGCCTGCAGGATCCTGCACGCAAGCCCGGATCATTGCGACCCTGGCCCTGCAGGGTCCGGCAAGGTCCGGCGCTTTGGCTGACCTCCGCTTGCATCGACCCCTATTATCCTTTGAGCCCCGACTTCAGGAATCGAGCCCTGGGTCCAGCGGGCACGCATGGCACAAACCGACTCCCCGCCCATTCGGTTCCCCGAATAATCCAGGCATCGCAACTCCCGGCCCGGGTAACACCGCTCGAGGTGAAGGAGGAAACTGAAGAGCATGAAGAGGAAGTGGATGATGAGATGGAGCAAAGCCGAGGTTCGAGGTCTTTGGGAATGTGCGGCCCCGTGGGGGCGCCCAAAAGCTTCCGTGAGGCCTCCGGAGACGACCGACGAGAACTCCGCCGACCTCCTCTGCGGAGGCCCCCAGGAGCTCCCGGAGACCCCCGAAACTGACTACCTACCAGACCACCCCAACCCAACCCGAAGACGCGAGTTTCGGGTTGGGGGGCGGGGTGCGGGTTCCATTCTTTATTTTTATGTTCACCGACCCCACCCCCACTGGAAATGGATGGCAAATTGCGGCCTTCGGGTTGGGTTGGGGTGGTTTGGCAGGTAGCGACAAACGGGGGAGGGCGGGGAGGGGACTCTTGAGAAGGGGGCGGAGGAGAGCGCGGGAGGACTCCAGGGGAAACCGGGTCCCTGGCGCGCCCCCCCCCGCCAGGGGGCCGCGCGCTGCCTCCGTGCAGCTGAGCTCGGCGTCCTCTGGCAGGCTGTCGCCTGGCAGGGAGAGGGGGCCGGGCGCGGGCGACCATCGAGGGACTGAGTGGGAATGATGGGCGTGTTCTCCACCACCACCACCATAAGTTGGAGGGGGGGGGTCCTCCTCGTCCTCCTCGTCCTCCTCCTCTTCCTCCTCCTCCTCCTTCTCCCTCCTCCTCCTCCTCCTCCTCCTCCTCCTCCTCCTCTTCGTCCTCCTCTCCTCCTCGCCCTCCTCCTCCTTCCCCCCTCCAACTTATGGTGGTGGTGGTGGAAAACAGGCTCATCAGGGAAGGCGTGGGGCCGGATCAGAACAGGGGCGGGGCGCCCCGTTTCTTCCCAGGGGTGGCCCCTGCCCGTACTCCTGCTACTCCTCCTCATCAGCCGCCTCCTCCCCCTCCTCCTCCGCCTCCTCCTTGCTGCCCCTTCTTCCTGTCCCTTTTCCCGCCTACCGTCTTCCCATGAGCAGCCACTGTGCCCCTCGGAAACCTGCCAGGGTTGGGCGATTACTCAACCTACAGCTCACAGGCGCTAGGGACACACACCATAGGAGGGTAGGATGCGGAACGGGGGCAGGACCTGGATTCGGCAAACAGGTGAGGCAATCGCGCAATTCACAACAACGTTCGCTCGACATGTTGTACTGAACTAAGTAACGGAATTTCCTGTTGCTAAGGCACGCAGGCAAATGCAGGACGGTCCAAGAAGAAGGCCGCTGGTGTAAGCGCGTGACCTTTAATCCACTGGCAGCTGCGCGCACGCGAGCCCCACAACACAAGGAACAACTGCCAGGAGCGGCGGGTGCCCGACACCAGCCAAGTCTGGACGGAGCATGAAAGCGCAAAGAGAAGAGACAAAGAGAGAAAGAGAGAGAGAGAGAGAGAGAAAGAGAGAGAGAGAGAGAAAGAAAGACCAAGCACAACAACAAAGAAACAGAGAGGCAGAGAGACAGAGGAATACTATAAAGAGATGAGGAGTAGGATGGGTCGAGGAGGAGGAGGAGGAGAACGAGGGAGGAGGAGGAAGAGGAGAAAGACGAGGCGAAATGTCCGTCCGGGCGCGTAGGGCACACGCTCCGCGCCCACCTCTTGCGGCGGGAAGGGAAACCAGGCCGGGGAAAGCGCCCTCCCCCTGGCGCGTCTGCGAGGGCCCCGGCTGGAGGACCAGAACGGCTTCTGGGATCTTAGTCTTACCCCGCCACTTCCCATATTTTCTGGTATTTTCTGGGGAATCGTCGATGTATTGTGTTTGTGTGTTTTTGTTTCCCTCCTGGAAATGTAGTGGCAAGGGCAGGACTCGCCCCGGCTGCGCGCCGGCGGGCAGAGAAAGGCCGGCTGCACATCTTCCTTGGCCTTGGCCCGCGTGCCGTGGGGCCCTGGCAGTGACGGCGCCGCCTTGGGGCATCATTCGCGGCGACTCAATGCGAGGGCAGCGGAACAGGTGCCATCTGCTCACGGAGCCCACTGGAGAGGAGGGGCGCGAGCATTGGTGTGCCACGCGTTGAACGGCAAGACATGCCTGGAGACTCTCTTGGAGGGACGTTCCCAGAAAAGCGGCAGGTCGGAAAGCCTGTTCGAGGCCGCCCCAGGCAGTTTGACGCTCGGTGGAACCTGTAAAGCAACGGGGCTGACTGTTCCTGGATGTGCTGGGGAGAACGGGCAATGTAATTGGCCCGCTGTTGCGGCGCGTTGAAGCTAGCGGTGAAAACTCTTTCGCGGTTGCCCTGTGGCTGTCTGGGCTTTCGTCTTCCCCCACACTTTCCATATTTTCAAATATTTTCTGGGGAATCGACGATTAATTGTCCGTGTGTCTTTTCCCCTCCTGCCTACGGGCTGTTCGCTGGGTCCCCGCCCCGCCGGGCCCTGTCCCGTCGTCGGTCACTGGCCGGTCGCTGCTCCTCGTGCCCTGGCTGGAGGTGGAGGTGGCCCAGTGGTGGTGGGGCCGGGCAGTCGCGGCCTGAACCTGTTGGCCGCGGGCGTCCTCCTCCTCCTCCTCCTGATCCTCCTGATCCTCCTGATCCTGTTGACCGCGGGCGGCTTGCACCTGCCCGTTGGAGCGTCTTGGTCGGCGCGCGCCGTGCTGATCGTCGCGGTCGCCGGGATCGCCTCTGCTGTGATTTTGAGCGAAAGAGGAGTGGCTTCCTTCGTCGTCGTTCAGGGAGGCGCCCGAACCAGGCGGGTCTTGTTCCTCGCCGCCAGAGTCATCGAGCACGCCTGTCCAAGAATCAAAGAGGTGATCGGAGCAGCCAGGCCCTGGTGGGCGATCGGCATAAGCGGGACCGCCCGGTGGGCCCGGTGGCTCGCGGCCGAGTTGGCGAGTGGGGAGAGGGTTGGGCTTCGTCTCGATTGGCTCAGCTTTCGGGTACATCGCCCCCGTGCCTGGCAAGGGACGCGCCGGGTGACTGCGGTCGTAGACGGCGGCAGCTGTGCTGCGGAGGACGGCCGCGAATGCGCGTCGCCGTCTATATCCGCGTCAATGAGGCTTCGTGGTGCGCCGTGCAGGCGTGCGCCGGCCGTGGCAAGTTCATCTGCGCAGCGGTTGAATGCCTCGGCGATCGCCGTGATGAGCCCCTCCCCAGTGCCTTGCTCACCCGGGTGGTTTTCACTCTCTGGATTGTGAACATGCCCGATCTGGCCTGGAGGACGCGGTGGATGCGTTGCCAAATGTCGGCCTGTGCACCCATGCGTTGCGCTGGTCTACCGCTGAGGAGGTCCTCGAAACAATCAACAACAGCTTGGCAATCTACGTTTTTTTATGCCGTTGAGCAGTGGCAGCCAGAAGGGCCCGCCCGCCGAGCAGACTGCGCCTGACCGCGCGCGCAAGCTGAATGGTTTAGCCCGTGATCTGGGCCAAGGTACACTCCCTAAAACAACCCTAGAACAACCCTAAAACAACCTAACACAGGTAGAACAACCCTATAAAACAACAGGTGAATGGCCAAGGTCAACTCCCTAGAACAACCCTAGCGAAGAGCTGGTGGGTTTGCGCGAGCAGGCCCCGTCTGTGGCCGCATGCGCCCCTCGAGGCCTGGCGTCGTCGTCAGCGCTCCGCCCGTGGGAGTCCTCCTCGGAGCCCTCTGGCGAAGGCAGCCAGGTGGGCCGCGGGGGCCCATCCTCTGAACGGGCAGCGTGGATATCCAGGGGCTGGGGATCTTCTTCAAGAAAGCCACAGTGCCTACAGTGCGACTCGGTCATCATGGTTTTCAGGGCAGTCCTCTGGGATTCGCAGCGAGAGTATTTCCAGCCGGTGCGCCCCTGGCTGCCTGCTTCTTGGTTACGCCATCTGCGCGGCGAAGATGGGTCAGCAAAGATGATGGCCTGGACTTTCCTCTGCTGGGTGCGACCGCCCCCGAGCAGGCAGTTGCAAAGGAGGCCGAACTATTCTGCGGTGCATTTGGCCCCTGTTTTTCGTCCCGAGACACCATGCACTGGGAAAGTAATCAAGACCCTGTTAGACACGACGACGGCGCCCAGGTCGCGTTCGGTGGTAGGAATGCGCCGCGGGAGCGTTCTTCCCTGCGACGCGCGGAGCACATGCGTGAACAGCCCCGCCAGCTGGTGGAGCCATGACAGGCGGGTGTTCCGCGCATCGTAAATCGCACCGTACGTTGACTGGCTCCACTCGAGCTCGGCAGCGGTTTACCCTACTCTACCAATTGAGCCTCCCGCTTGAAAGGGTGGTGCATGATCGCGCAGCTCTTCGGCTTGTGCGTTGAAGCTGGTGTCTGGCCGCACTTGCCCCCTCGACCCGCGCAGAACTTCCCTTTGCGCGATGGCGCCACTGACGCGCGCAGCACATGCGTGAAGAACCCGACTGGCAGGTGGAACCACTACAGGCGGTAGCCCCAATCATCGCACATCGTGCCGCGCGCTGGCCAGCTCCATTCGAGCTGGGCAATGCTTCGCCAAACTCTACCCGCTCGGCCTCCTCATTGGAAGGATTTCGCATGATCGCGCAGCTCTTCTGTTTTGGTATTGAGGCTGGTGTCTCGCCGCGCTTGCCTTTTCAGCCCGAGTATTTTTTCTTTTTCCTCTGTGCGATGGCGCCAGTGACGCGCGGAGCACATGCGCGAGCGGCTCCGATAGCAGGTGGAGCCATCGCAGGCGGGCGCCCGAATCATCGTAGATTGTGCCGCACGCTGGCCGGCTACACTTGAACGGGGCAACGGCGCGCCGAACTCCACCCACTGGGCGCCTCCGCATGATCGCGCGGCTCTCGGGCTTTGGCGTTGAGACTGGTGTCTCGCCGCGCTTGCCTTCGCAGTTCGAGCGGGGCCTCCATTTGCAGGAGGGCACCAACTTCGACAGCGCGCCCATGAACAACGAGAGAGTAGAAGGCCCATTGTGAGACCCAGGATCTTTGCACCCTATGGCGGCAAGCGCCGCACTGTCGCACAGATGTATTGCTCTCTGGCTGGGTGGTTAGATGTCAGCGCCAGTGGTGCACATGCTGGCGACGAGGGGCCTGACTGATCGAACTCTCGCTTGGGCGCCTTGGGGGGTCGTCCGATGCTCAGGAATGCGGCGACCGCCCGTCGTGCCCTGGCGCCGGCGATGGCCTGCATTGCATGTTCAAGTGGGCGTCGTCCGCCACGGGCGCGACGTTGGCGCGCACCCCATACCTGCTTCGCCCGCTGGTGAATTTGCCGGGGCATGCCTGGAGGGCGGCCACGTCGCGGCGCCCCGGCCCCGCAGCCTCTCGCTGACTGCGCGGGCCGTGGAAATCGCTGGCTGCGGGGGCCGCGGAGTTGTTGTCGTCGACGGACGTTGTGCTCGATGAGCGAGGCACGCAGCGGCGCTGTCGCTTGGCCCATGCGCACGCGGGGAGTTCGACGTCGCCAGGAGAGAAAGAGCTGCTTTGGAGGCGCCCACTGGTTCGCGCCAAGGGCCTGGAGCAAGCTTCTCACGTGCGGATGTATCTCCGACGGTTATCGTAAGAGCGCAGGGGGCGCAGGCACCGGCCCCGCGCGTTGCGCTGTCCGCAGCGCTTTGGCCAACAGGCGGGGGGCTCCGTCCGAAGGC